GCGTGCTGCTCCTCAAGCCCGAGGCTGAGCTCAACGCCGAGGCTGTGAGTGCTGGCCCTGCCTGGGGTCCCCCTGCAGCCCCAGGAGCAGCCTGGGCTGTGCTGGGGTCATATTGGCTCTAGTGTCCCTCACATGGACCCAGTGCTGCAGTGGGCAGAGCTCTGGAAATGAGGGTTTTGCATGTCTTTATTCGCAGGTCTACAAAGCACTGCCCGAATTCAGCAACCCCCACAGCATCCAGGATGAACCATTATGTGACTGGCTGGACTCCAAGAGGCACCCCTACATGTTATTCCAGGTGAAGCCCCTGGGCCTCCCAGAGCTGCCCGTGCTTCTCCCAAGTGCTGGGAAAGCCACACCTGTGGCACAGGACTTCCCTTTCCTGCCAAGCCCAGGCTCCTTCCCCACCTGTTTTCTGTAGCCCTGGGACTACTCACTGCTGGAATGGGGATATTCCTCCTGCTGGCTGTGCTGGATGGACAATCTCTGCTTTTTCACAGGATGCAGCACTGAAGCTCTTCACCAACAGCAGGGAGCCTTGCTGGCGCAGGCTCCACATGGTTGGAATGGCAGGTCCTGGAGGTGAGCACAGCCCTTGTGCTGAAATGAGCAAAGAGCTGGTGGACAGTCCTGGCTGTCATGTCCTCAGGGGGACTTGGAGCCATCCAGAAAACACCCTTGGCATCAAAGAGGATGGACAGGGATGGAAAAGGATTTTGGTCACCCTTGTGCTGGCTGCAGGCAAGGTCCAGCTGGGACCTGAGGCTCCCAAGTTCTGCTTTGCCTTTTCCAGGAGACATGAGACTACTCCGTGGGGAAGTGGGAAGCAATGTTTATGAAGGAATTATGCCAATGTTCACCTCAGCCAGCTCAGGCATCGAGGGTGGGGAAGAGCCCCCAGCACCCCGGACATACTTCCCAGAGACGTGGCTGTGGGACCTGGTCCCTGTAGGGTGAGAGACAGCTCCCAAGGGGACCTGGGGACCTCAGGACTCCTTCTCCCTGTGGGCTGGCACCAGCAGTGTCACGGTGGTGCCACTTAGGCCATGCCACCAGCCGTGCTGGGGTGGCCTCATGACGTTCTCCATGCAGGGAGAGTGGCTCTGCCGAGATGACGGTGACAGTGCCCGACACCATCACAGAGTGGGAGGCTGGGATGTTCTGTACAGCCCCACAGGGCCTGGGGCTGTCCCCTGCTGTCACCCTCACGGCCTTCCAGCCATTCTTCGTGGAGCTGGCGCTGCCCTACGCTGTGGTGCGCCACGAGAGCTTCACCCTCAGGGCCACCGTCTTCAACTACCTGCGCCAGTGCCTGCGGGTGAGCGGGGACAGGCAGGGACAGGGGCTGTGCCAGGGGCTGGCAGGTTCAGGGGAGGCTGGGGGTGACCCTGGTTCTGGGGTGTGATGGAGCTGTGCCATGCTCTGGCAGGTTTGGGGTAGGACAGGGAGGTGACTCTGGCTCTGAGGGAGCTGTGCCATGTTCTGGCAGGTTCGGGGGAGCCCATGGAGGTGACCCTGGCTCTGGGGTGTGATGGAGCTGTGCCATGCTCTGGCAGGTTTGGGTGAGGTGACCCTGGCTCTGAGGGCTGATGGTGCCATGGCTGTGCCCCGCAGGTTCAGGTGACGCTGGCAGAGTCGGTGGAGCTGGAGGTGTCACCGAGGGCAGGGGACACATACACGGGCTGTGTCTGTGCAGATGAAGCCAAGACCTTCCAGTGGGGCGTGCGAGCCACCAGCCTGGGTACAGAGCTGCCACCACTCCACCCTGCTGCCCGGGGACCCCTCAGGGGACGGGGTTAGGTGGGCAGGGAGAGCAGGAACCCCACGGGATCTGGGGAGTCCTCCACTGCTCCACTCCCACCCTCCCTGGGGACCCCCAGCCCAGTCCAGCCAGCCCCAGCCCAAGCCCAGGGGGCTGTGCTCAGGTTTGGGGGCTCCCTGGGAACTGAGGGCCGTGTTTGCACCTTCAGGGGAGGTGAACATCACTGTGAGCACCGAGGCCCTCAGCTCCTCTGAGCCCTGTGGCAACGAGCTGCCCCTGGTGCCGACCCAGGGCCGCGTGGACACCGTGATAAAGCCTCTGCTGGTGCAGGTCAGAGAGCTGGAGAGGAGGAGAATGGGATGGTTGTGGGAGCAAACAGCCCTCGGGGGGCAGTGGGACAGCACCCAGACATGAAGGGGACTGGGGGACAGGCATGTCCCTCCTCCTGACTGACTTTGGTGCTGCTTCCTCACAGCCCGGCGGGATCCTGGTGGAGAAGACTCACAGCTCCCTGCTCTGCCAGGAAGGTAGGACTGGCCAGGGGTGTCGGGCAGTGCGTGGGACATGGCCAGGGGTGCTTGGCCACTGGTCACAAGGGCCACCAGTCCAGAGGAGCCAAGGGTCAGGGTGCTTGGGCAGGAACAGCATGGATGAGGCTGCCACGGGACAGGCTGGTAAGAGCTGGGCATTCCCACTATCACAGCCCTCTGCCCCCACAGGTGCTGAAGAAGTGTCCTTGGAGATTCCTGCAAACATCCTGGAGAGCTCCCAGAGGGCCCACATCATCGTGATGGGTAAGGGACAGGCTGGGGGGGCCTGGGGGCCACAGGAGACAGGGTTGGTGCAGAGGTCCCCAGGCTCAGCAGGACATGGGACCATCCAGAGCTGACACAGAAGGGGACACGGGTGACACAGCTGATGATGTGTCCTCCTGGCACAGGTGATATCCTGGGCAATGCCCTGCAGAACCTGGACGGACTCCTGGCCATGCCCTACGGCTGTGGGGAGCAGAACATGGTTCGCTTTGCCCCCAACATCTACATCCAGCAGTACCTGGAGAAGAGCGGGCAGCTGCTGCCGGACATCCGCGCCAAGGCCCAGGGGTTCCTGCAGAGCGGTCAGTGAGAGCCTGGCAGGGACACCACAGTCCCACAGCCCCCTCCTCACCCCACCTGGCTCCCCTGGGCACAGAAACAGTGCCCTGTGCCCATGTCTCCCCGCAGGGTACCAGCGGGAGCTGCTGTACAAACACGACGACGGCTCCTACAGCGCCTTTGGCAAGAGCGATCCCTCGGGCAACACCTGGTGAGGGCTCTGCAGCTGCACCCAGGGCTCCTCCTGCCATCCAGGCAGCCCCAGTGCTGACTCAGCCCTCTGGTGTCTCCCTGGCTCCAGGCTGACAGCGTTTGTCCTCAAGTCCTTCGGGCAGGCCCGAGCCTACGTGGCCATCGAGGAGCAGCACATCACGGACGCACTGCGCTGGCTCCAGCAGCGCCAGAGGGAGAGCGGCTGCTTCCGCAAAGAGGGCAAACTCTTCCACAATGCCCTGCAGGTGGGGCAGGGCTGGCCTGGGGAACCCAGAGCGTGCTCTGGGCAGTGGGAGTGTCCCTGTGTTGGTGTCACAGCCTGGTCAGACCCATGTCCTCCTGTCCCCTTGCAGGGCGGTGTCTCGGATGAGCTCTCGCTCTCGGCGTATGTGACGGCAGCGATGCTGGAGCTGGGACTGCCCACGGTGGTGAGGATGGACCTTTCTTCCCCACGGGGTCTGGTGGGGTGGGGACAGCTGCTGGGACAGGGATTGGCCATTCCAGGCCACCAGCATGAACTGGGCACAGCTGGGGACACTGGGCAGCACTGAGCGAGTCCCATGCTCTGGGCTGGCTCCTGACTCCTCTGCCACGCCAGGAGCCGGTGCTGAGCTCAGCCCTCAGGTGCCTGGAGGCCTCTCCCACGGATGACCCCTACACACAAGCCCTGCTGGCCTATGTGTTCGGGCTGGCAGGGCTGAGGGAGCAGCAGCAGGTGCAGCTGCAGCGCCTGGCCCAGCACAGCACCAGTGCAGGTACTGCCTGGGCAGGGGCCTGTGGGCAGTGCATCCCCCTAAAGGGACCCCAGCCTGCAGCAGGGGCTGAGCTGCTGCCCCTCCTCCTGCAGATGGGCAACTCTACTGGAAGAGGAAGGGGCAGGCTCAGGAGGACTTGGAGCTGTCCTGGGCTGCGGCCCCGTCGGCTGAGGTGGAGATGACAGCCTATGTCCTGCTGGCCTACCTGTCCCAGCCCTCGGTGTCCCCCGCTGACCTGGGGACAGCGTCCCGGATCGTCCGCTGGCTCTGCAAGCAGCAGAACCCCTACGGGGGCTTTGCCTCCACGCAGGTACCGGCCCTGGGCTCCAGGCGCTGCTCCAAACTGGCCCCTCCTGGGAGCGGCGCTCAGGGGTGACCCTGGCACTGTCCCCGTGCACAGGACACCGTGGTGGCCCTGCAAGCCCTGGCCAAATACGCCGCCCTGACCTACGGCAGCAACGGGGACATGACAGTGACGGTGACATCGCCTACGGGGACGGTGCAGGACTTTGTGCTGGACAGCAGCAACCGGCTGGTGCTGCAGCGGGCGGCGCTGCCCGAGCTGCCGGGCACCTACGGGCTGCGAGCCCGTGGGCAGGGCTGTGCCCTGGCACAGGTGGGTACAGCCTGGGCCCCCCGTCCTGGGCGCTGTGCCCTCGCTGGGCTCACCCTGTCCCCTGTCCCCCAGGTGACCCTGCGCTATAACGTGCCTCCCCCGCCCAGCACCGGGGCCTTCGAGCTGCGGGTGCAGACGGAGCTGCTGCCGGGCACGAAGAACCCGGGGTTCCTGCTCCGCCTCTGGGCACGGTAGGGACTGGGGCTGGCCCGGGTTTGGGGGGGACAGCAGCAGCCAGGGAGGGAGGGAATGAATCCCTGAGCCCACCCTGGGGCTCTGCCCTTGCAGGTACACTGGGGAGCGCCCTGCCACCAACATGGTTGTCATCGAGGCCAAGCTGCCATCGGGATACAGCCCCGATAAGAAATCCACGGTAGAGGTGAAGAGCCCCCTGCCCCCCTTTGGGATACCCCATTCCACAGGCCCTGCCTGGGGCTGTAGGACATGGAGGGACACCTGCTCGGGGTGCTGGGCACCCGTAGAGCAGCTGTGGCCCCTCCTGAGCCGTGTCCCTGCAGCTGAAGAGGCAGAACCTGGTGAAGAAGGTGGAGGTGCAGCCTGACCAGGTGACCATTTACCTGGACGAGGTGAGATGGGTACAGAAGCAGGAGCCCTGGGATATGGGGGGGTTTTCCCATGGTGAGTGGTTACACCTCCCCCCTGGGCTGTCTCCACAGCTGACCAAGGAGGAGAAGACCTTTTCCTTCCAAGCCCAGCAGGACTTCGTGGTGAGCAACCTCCAGCCGGCCACCGTGTCCCTGTACGACTACTACGAGACAGGTGAGCCCTGCAGGGCCGTGTCCCCTGGTCCTGCTGCCAGCCCTGCAGCCCCAGGGGCTCAGTGGGCTCTGCCTGATCTCCCAGCTCCCACTGATGAGCTCTGGCTCCTTAAGGGAGCAGCTCCTCCCAGGCCCATGGTCACCACCCCTCCCATTGCAGGTGACCGTGTGGATGTGGCCTACACTGCACCCCCCAGCTCAGGTAGGGGCTGAGCCTGCCAGGCCAGGGGTCACCCCACCCTTGGGACCCTGATGGGGACCTGGAGGGCACCAGGGGAAGGAGGGCAGGGAGTGAGTGGGGACAAAGGAGCCCATCCTGGAATCTTGCCCCGATTGTTGGGGATTTGCTGGGCAGAGCTTGGGGCAGAGGTCAGGGACTGGCACTGGACCCTGCCCAGGTGTGCAGGCTGGGGGTGCAGGAGATGCTCTTTGTGCCTCTTTGAGGGGGCTCAGCCCCCATCAGCCCTGGCCTTCCTCCTGTGATCCCCTGCAGCTCCCCCCTGGGGCTTTGGGGTCACACAGGGGATAGGACACTGAGCTCCAAGGGATGGGGCTCAGCCAGGGGGTCAGGGCCAAGCAAGGGTGGTGGTGGTGATGGGGGTAGTGGTTCTGGGGACTCTCCTCTCACAGCACCCCCATATTCCCTTTTGAAGAGAAGGAAAACGTCTAACTCAGCCTGGAGCCTGGCAGCCCATCCCTGCCCCAGCTCCTGTGGCCACCAAGAACAGCTGAGGGTCTCTGCTCCCACCCTGGCCTGGTCCTGACCCTCCATGGGGGCAGGAGGTGGCCCAGAGACCCTCCCAGCAGCACTGGTCTCAAGCAGGGCCCCTCTGGATAGAGCCCCAGCTTCCCCCCAGGATCTGCAGCCAAGGGGCTCCTGCAGGCCCAAGGACACACATGGACTTGGCTGAGCAGCCACAGTGGGCACTGCACAGGGACACCCCCAGGTCACCTCCTGCCAACCCTGCACGGGGCTCTGGGGTGCCAGCTCTGGCCTCTCCCCTCCCCACAGCACCTGAAGGGGACCCAGAGCTCCTCCCTTGTGCCAGAGCTTGCCTGGCAGGTCCCCACCACCCCTCACTCCCCACAGTGCCACCCCAGCCCCGTCCCCAGCACTGACAAAATGCCAGCGTCACCCCTAGGGCCTGGTGGAGCCCAGCCCCTGCCCTGGGTGTAAATAAAGCAATGCAGTCAAACACTTCTTACTCTTGGTCTTTCTTCTCCTTGAGGGAGAAGGGGGTGGGGACAGAGGGGACAGGATGGCTGCTGTGGTCAGGAGAGTCAATCCCTGTCAGACAAAGCTGGGAGGGCTCTGGAGGCATGAGCAGCTGTAGAGAACACGGCCAGCAGTGACATGGCACAAGGGGACATGTGCAGCACGGGTCCCTCACCTCACCCAGGCACGTGACACAGCCCTGGGCAGCCTCAGGTCAAACTCTGCTGTCCTGAGCAGCTGCTCCAGACAGAGCCACCACTGTTCTGCCACCTCAGTGACAAATCTGGCCCAGGGGTGTCTCCAGAGCCACACCCTCCCTGGGGACAGCTGGGGATGCTCCTGTGATGTCCCCAGGGGAGTCACCCAGCAGAGCCAGCCTGGTGACACCTGGAGCTGTGACCAGGGGCCGGGGCCACAGCACTGGGGCCAAATGACCCCTCTGTGCCCAGGGGAGGGCACGAGGCACTGTCACAGCAAGGCACGGACTAAGCAAGGTGTGGCCAAGCCCCAGGCTGTCCCCAGGGCTACTGAGGTGGCAGTGGGACACAGGAGCCAGCCCTGTGCCCCGAGCAGAGTCCCTTGCTGGGGATGGAGCCACTCCCACCTCACTTGTGGCGCTTCTTCTTCTGCTCTTTGCGCTTCTGAGCCCTCACATCCTTCTTGAGGCGGCTGTCCACCACCTTGAACTGGCCCTTGACACCAGGGGGACGCCTCACCCGACGTCCCACGCCCTTCTTGGCCACCAGGTAGGTGACCTGGCGCTTCTCCTTAGCCAGCCCAGCCTTCTTGTAGATGCTGCAGCACAAGCACAAAGGTCAGAGTGAGTTTGGGTGGGACAAAAACAAAACCCAGTGTTGGGAAATCAAGTCCCACCCCTCCTGTAGCTCTGCCAGCCCCAGATCAGCCTGGCTGGGGACACAGAGCTGTCCCAGGGGCTGCAGGGACACGGCCCAGCCACAAAGGGACGAGCTGGATCCTGGCTTGGCCACTCACCGGCGCAGCTGGGCCACCTTCTCCCGCTCTGAGATGTCCACGGTGCTCACCACAGCCTCAGCCTTCTTTTTCATCTGCTCCAGCTTCTTCAGCATCTGGGGGACAGCCAGGGGGACAGAGGGTCAGAGGAGGGACAGGGGACTCAGAGGAGGGACAGGGGAGTCAGGATGGGGGATCAGAGGGGGTGGTCACAGGAGAGAGGGGAATTGGAAGAGGAATGGGGGGGAGGTCAGAGGTGGAACAGGGGGGGCCAAGCTGGGACAAGAAGGGGTCAGAAAAGGATGGGGTATCAGAGATGGGACAGGGGCATTGAAGCAGTGACAGGGGGGTCAGAAAAGGATGGGGAATCAGAGATGGGACGGGGGGGGTCAGAAAAGGATGGAGTATCAAGAGATGGGACAAGGGGATCAGAGATGGGATAAGGGGGTCAGAAAAGGATGGTGAATCAGAAATGGGACAGGGGCACTGGAAAAGGGACGGGCATTGAAGGAGGAACAGGGGCGTCAGAAAAGGATGGGGTATCAGAGATGGGACAGGGGTTCAAGGATGGGACAATGTGGGTCAGAAAAGGATAGGGAATCAGAGATGGGATGGGGGGGTCAGAAAAGGATGGGGTGTCAGAGATGAGACACAGGGTCAGAGATGGGACAAGGGGGGGTCAGAAAAGGATGGGGAATCAGAGATAGCACAGGGGCATTGAAATAGGGACAGGGGGGTCAGGAAACGATGGGGTATCAGAGATGAGACAGGGGAGGAGGGACAGGGGGTTCAGAAAAGGATGGGGAATCAGAAATGGGACAGGGGTATTGGAGGAGGGACAGGGTGTTCAGAAAAGGAGGGGGAATCAGAGATGGGACGGGGGGGTCAGAGACAGGACAGGGGGGTTAGAAAAGGATGGGGTATCAGACATGGGACAGGGGGATCAGGAAAGGATGGGGTATCACAGATGGGACAGGAGCATCAGAGGAAGAACAGGGGGGTCAGAGGGAGGACTGAGGCCCTGGGAGAAGGAGCCAGGGCACCCCTGGGAGCCCACCCCCACTCACCCTCTTCTTCTTGCGGGCCTTGGCCTCTGCCACCTTCTTGATGGGCCGTGCGTTGATCTCCTTCCAGCGCTGCCGATAGGCCTCCACCGTTTGCCTGTCCACGGGCAGCTGCCGGCGCCGGTGCTGCCGCTCCTCCTCCGTGAACCACTCGGGCAGCTCCCCCTCCTCCTCGTTGTACGAGTACCTGGGCGGCCAGGAGACCTGTGAGCAGGATATGGGGACCCACCACACCTGTCCTTGCCAGGGAGCAAGCCCTGCAGAGCTCCTGCAGCCCCCACTGGTACCTGTTGAAGGAGTCGTCGATGAGGTCCCGCCGGGCCTTTTTGGAGCTGGCAATGACAGAGCCGAGGGCAAGGCCCTCTGCATCCAGGACTCTTTTCACTGTGGGACATGGCAAAGTTGGCCTGGCTGCAGCCCAAGAGGCAGGGAGCAGCCCTGGGAAGCATGGACTGTCCCTGCCTCCATCTCCTGTTCCTCCCAAGGGACCCCTCCTGTCCATCCCGAGGGACCACCAGGTCTGTCCCTGTCCCCATCTCCTGTGCCTCCCGAGGGACCCCCAGGTCTGTCCCTGCTCCCATCACCTGTCCTTCCTGAGGGACCCTGAATCTGTCCCTGCCTCCATCTCCTGTCCATCCTGAGGGACCCCCAAGTCTGTCCCTGTCCCATCTCCTGTCCCTTCTGAGGGACCCTGAGTCTGTCCCTGCCTCCTGTCCATCCCGAGGGATCCCCAGGTCTGTCCCTGCCTCCTGTCCTTCCTGAGGGACCCTGAGTCTGTCCTTGCCTCTATCTCCTGTCCCTCCCAAGGGACGCACAGGTCTGTCCCTGTCTCCTGTCCTTCCCAAGGGAGCCCCAGGTCTGTCCCTGCTTCCTGTCCCTCCCAAGACACCCCCATGCCCCCCACTCACCTGGCCTCTCAATAGGCACCACCTCGAAGCCACAGGGCTCAGCACGGCCTCGCTTCCTCCCCACTGGTGCCAGGGGCCTGTGGAGAGCAGGGCTGGGGTCCCTCAGCTCTCCAGGACTGTGGAGCTGAAGGGACAGCCAGACCCCCCCTCAGCCCTCACCTCTCATCCTCACTGCTGCTGTCATCATCATCATCACTGCTCTGCTCCTCTTTAGCTTCTTCACTGGCATCGGGAGCTGGGGCTGCTGCAGGGCTGGGCTCGGCTGGATCCTCCTCCTGGGCCTCCTCCTTCTTCTTCTTCTGCCCTTTCTTTGTTGTTTTGTCTGGGAATGGGAAGCACTGGGTGAGACAGAGCCAAGGCAGATCCTCCTCTAGAGATCCTGCTCATTAACACTGCACTAATGAGAGCTCTTTACTGACAGAGGCTGGGACCACTCTCTGGTCTAGTGGGAGTGTTCCTGCCCATGGCCAGGCTTGGAGCTCTTTGAGATCTTTTCCAATCCAAACCATTCCTGCTCAGGGCAGCATCCCCACTGAGGCTGGAGCCAGTGCCCCACAGTGAGCTGTGGCTGTCCCTGTGTGTCCTCTCACCTCTCTGAGCCTCACGCTGCTTCTCAGCCAACATCTGGGCCTGGCCCAGCTCCAGCTTCTCGTCTGCATCATCCTCGATGCCAGCAAAGGCGTCCTGGCGTGGGGAACAGTGGGGTCAGCCCCATGGCAGGGGGGGTTTAGCCCCAGGGATGGATGGGGATCAG